GATAAGTGTATTTTATACACTTATGTATACCTAAAAATATAGACATTTAATATTTCTTTAAAGTAATTATAGCCTGATTTGTTGTATATTTCATTTATTAGGTAAAACTCGATGGTTGGAAGTTAAACGGAAAGAAAGAAGTGAAAAACGATGAAAAATGGCGAAGTACAAAGTTGAGGACCAAATTTCAAATATCCAATGGTTGATTTGGACCATAAGAGATATTTTAAAGATTGATGGGAGTCAATTGGATGCAATTAGAAGTCAAAAAGGAATGGAATATCATCAGAATATTACCATAAATCGATTTCCAATTACATGATATATTTTTTTAGATTTTTAGTCAAGGATTGCGACCAATTTTTGGCATAGTAAACGTCCGAATTGGAAAATATCTATTTCAAGGAAAATTGTAGAAATTTTAGTTATATTTCCAACTTATTTTGAATCAACTCAATCGGATATCAGGAGACAAAGTTATGATCAAAATATTGACTGCTATGCAGAGACAAAAAATCCGCGCGCGATTGTAACTTTCCATATTCGATTGGAACTCTTTTGGAAACCAATTTGGACTTGATTTTTTTACCAATTTTCGACTACTACGGACACCCAATAGGAGAATACACAAAGGGGGCTCTCATACTTCTCTCTTATACATAATATGCTCCAATATTCATCAATTATCATCATCAAAGGAGGAGAATTCATTGTTTTTGTGAGAGAATTGAAGGGGACTTGCAAGAATTCAATCAAGTGAAGATTCAAACTTGGTATTGGACAAAGAAGAGAGAGCGCAAGTGGATATTTATTAAGAAACCATTGAAAAGATTCAAGATTTCAAGATTTGTCTTCACCTTCTCAATATATCGAAAATTCGGGTTATGTGGGCACGACCATAGGAAGATAAGTGAACGACCCTTTTTCGAGTTGCCAAAACTATAGAAATAGAGTATAAATTAAAGAGAGTATTTCATTTTCTAATTGTATCTCAAATTGTGGTTTTCTTGTTATTTTTCTCAATGAAAAGCATTTTCCTTTTATAGGGATAAATTTAACCCCCACAATCATATCATTAAAACACAAGTTACAATACGTATTATGATGCTTTAATTTTAGGTTAGAATTGAAAATTAAAGGTTGTAGGGTTGAAAGGCTAAAACTTGTTCTTAAGTTACAACACCTACTTTCCTCGGTTGATCCCCACAAAAACTGCAAAATCAGCAACCTAATCTCTCAGTAAATCAAAGTTGGCTGCATGAACAAACAAACATATACGTAGGGATTGCTTGAAAAAATAGATTTCGGGGCCACCCGTTGACCCTCTTCCATATCCACTTCTTTATCGTGAAAAATGTTCAGCTGTTATTCATGCCCACATTTGCTAGCATCCCCAGATATAAATCATAATGTTGTACATTGGGAGTCCAAGAAGCAGTTGGACAAGGACCCACTCCTCACTAGCCAACGTATTTGACTATTTCAAAGCCAATAAAGGTAGCTTTACTTTCTGATGACAATGTTGCCACAAAAAGACGATGATTTCAATATTTTAGATGGATTCACCAGGCAAGTTGTTCTCATGGGGTCGGACTTGGAGCGTTATTTGGTTTGTTGGAGGATATTTGATCTTTAAATATGAAAAACATAAATGGTTCACTAATTCTCCCAAATATATCGTTAAAATACCACGATGGCATAGAAAATACAATTTAAAAAAGTGGAAATTACACCAAACCATATTTTAAGTATCCAACATTCTAAAATCATATTGAAACTTTGATATTTCAAAAATCAGATGAAAAAATATTTTTTAATATCAATAATAATATTATAAATTAATTTATATATTCATACCCTAACCATCATCCAAACCCCAAAACTGTTTTTGTTCCACTTCCTCTCTTTCCCTATCACTCATACCCACCGTCGCCACTGAAGACCACCTTGTTTGCAATGACGCCATTGAACCCCGTTTGAAACACTAATCTCCCATTTAATGTCTTCCTCCAACGTGCGGTGGTGCGTGGTGTGACGATCTGTGGTGTGTGGTGCGTCAATCTGCAGTGGTGTGTGCGATAGTAACTTGTATGTGCGGATCTATACGGTGGCGATCTGTGTGATGTGTGTGGGATGATGCAAATGGCAGTGGTGGAGATGGGGTGCTGTAGCGATTTGCATTTTTTTTGTTGGTTCTTCTTCCAACCTGCTTAGTCGGAGTTTTAGGGGTGTGAGGTGTTCGCTCTCCATCTTTGTCGGTGGCGCAGCTTGCATCACTGTCGCGAGATGTGTGTGTATGTGCACGTGGGTCTGGGCGTGTGTATTCGGCGGAGGTGGCATAAGGCTGTGGTGGTGTGTGCGTGACGGCGATTCCCCTTTCGTTACAGCATTGTGGATTTTATGTGGTGGTGGTGTGCTGTAATCGTTGCAGCATCGTAGATTTCGTGCAGTAGTGGTGCGCTACAGATCCCCTGATCTGTGGCAATCGTGGATTTTGTGTGGTGGCGACGACGGTGTTTGTGTGGTGGCAGTGTTGCGGTGGGTGGTTGATCTGGCGGTGGTCTATTTGAAGTGTTGCAGTGGGTTGTTTGAGGTGCTGCGGTGGCGGCACTCGACGAATCTGGTGTTTGTGTGGACTGTGACTCCCAATTGTGGTGTTGGTGTTGGTGTGTGGTGGGTGGCAGCAATAGTGATGGTGATGGCCATGAGAATTGTGACTGTGACTGATTTCGAATTGTGAATTGTGATTCACAATTGGATAAGTAACATGAAATTTGTGACTGTGATTTTCAATTGTGACTCACGATTTATTAAACTGTGACCTATAAATTTTTTGAATTGTGATTGTAAAATAATTTGTGACATCAAATTTCTGATTTGTGACCAAAAAATAATAAGTGAAGAATTAAATCGTTAATTTGTGATCAAATTATATAAATCTGTAACTTAAATTAATTCGTGACTAAAATTAATAAATAATACATGACCTAAAAATTGTGTTTGTGACTTATAATTTATTAAGTTGTGACCGAAAAATTAATCTTTGACCTATAAAATTTTTGATTCGTGATCGAAAAATAATATGTGACCTATAAAATTTGTGTTTGTGACTTATAATTTATTGAGTTGTGACCGAAAAATTAATCTGTGACCTATAAAATTTTTGATTCGTGATCGAAAAATAATATGTGACCTATAAAATTTGTGTTTGTGACTTATAATTTATTGAGTTGTGACCGAAAAATTAATCTGTGACCTATAAAATTTTTGATTCGTGATCGAAAAATAATATGTGACCTATAAAATTTGTGTTTGTGACTTATAATTTATTGAGTTGTGACCGAAAAATTACTCTGTGACCTATAAAATTTTTAATTCGTGATCGAAAAATAATATGTGACTTATAAAATTTTTAATTTGTGACCGAAAAATAAGTTGTGACGAATAATATGATAAGTCGTGACTAAAAATTAATCCGTGACTAATTATTTTTGGATTTGTGATCAATAAACAAACCGTGACTCACAAAATTTTTGAATTGTGATCGAAAAAAAATTTGTGACATAAAATTTTTGATTTGTGACCAAAAAATAATAAGTAACTAATTATATTGTTAATTTGTGACCAAATTGTATAGATTCGTGACCTAAATATATTTAATTAATAAAATAATTAATTAACTAATTAAATTATAAATAATTTTTAATAAAAATCTGATTTTAGAAATTAGAAACTTGTTTTTGAAATGTGCCATAATTAATTTCTTAGTTATGAAGTTTTCCCTTTAAAAAAATTGTATATATAGACTTGCAAATTTTTCCAAGCAAATAAAGAAAAGCCTTTGCTCAAAAAACCGATTTCTAGAACCCAAGCACAAAATTAATCAAGAAAAAGAAAATAATCAAACAAGCATAGTCTTTGAATTCGTCATATTGTCCGTTAGTTCTCTCACATGTTGTCCACTTCTACATCATTGTAAAGTAATTGGTGGAGGAACGCAATTAGTGACATGTAGATTCTTGGCCACCAGAAGCAAAAAATCTATAAATCCTTCACATATACCCAACTCTGCCAAGGCTCCTAATTTCCAGCAGCTGTGGTATTGCTAAGTTTTGTATAAACAATGGTGTGAAATTGATGTAAATATCAAAGACGCGTTCTCAAATTTTTTGCATATTTATGAGTAGAAAATTACTTGAAGAAAATATCTCATTCTCCTCCCTAGAACTAGTCTACTAATGAGACATTGAGTATATTTTAAATCATTAATCCAACAAACTGTAGGTTAGTGACATGTATGTATATATTATATAAATATAAGTTGCAGATTTCATTGCAATTAAGTAGCTTTCTTTGTCATATACATTAATTTCCATATGTCTTTTCTTGATGTTTTTATTGACATAGTCTTCTATTTAGCCATCTTCAACTACCAACTCCAAGAATTTCTCTCCTTTGTATCTTCATGGAATTGAATTCCTTACAAGACATTAATATCAACCACAAAAGGGATAAACATTATCAAGACTCTATATTCTTTCAGTTCCTCTAAAATTTTGATGTCCTCTTTTGTTCGATGTAAATTATTGAAGACTATCATTAAAATAGCTTTGTGAAACTTAATTCTAAACTAATTTTGACTGATTGGAGCATCATAATATCTTTACTATGCAAGCCCAATACAACTTAATATACGATATATTTGTAACTTATGTCTTGAAAGGAATATCTAAAAGTATGATGAAGCAATTCGTTTGATATTCTACTTTTTCACCACATTCCAATCCAAAAACTATTGACGATGATTTGCATCCTAGTCTTTCGATTTTCGCTATGCTATTCAAACCAAAATAATTGTTGATCAAATGTACATATCAAACCAAAAAATGAGGTTTCATTTTTCTTTCTTTATGTTTGTTTTCATTGGCTTGCCAGCATATTTGTCACATCATCTTTTTCTTCTCTCATATTTACCACTATTATAAAAGAAGAAAGGGGAAATGGTAATGAAACCCAGAACACTAAGCGTGGAACCATTTAAAAAAGCCTTTGTTTTCCTTCTTCACACTTTCCTTTTAAGTTCACTTCCATTTGCTCTAAACACTGTATCATCTAAGAAAACGGAAGCAGAGGCTCTTATAAGGTGGAAGAACACCTTATCATCTCATGATTCTCTTGATTCATGGGCCCTCAATAATATCACGAATCTATGTAGTTGGAAAGGGGTTGTATGCAACACGGTGTCACTTTATGAGATATACTTGCCGGATGTAGGCCTTAATGGCACACTTGACCAACTCGATTTTTCTTCATTTCCAAATCTCACAAGTCTCAAACTCCGTTGGAATCATTTCCACGGGTTGATTCCATATCAAATTAGTGATCTTCGAAATCTAACTTATCTTGATTTGTCATTTAACTCATTTACTGGTGAAATTCTGGACTCATTATTCACCAATCTAGGAAAGCTCGAATATCTGAACCTTACCGGTAACTCATTTCAGGGCTCCTTGCTATCAATTCTTACTAAGTTGACGAAATTGAAAGGTATTAGGTTAGCCTCGAACAACTTCTCTGGTTCAATTCCTGATATTTTTAGTTTGATGCCAAATCTAGAAATCCTTGAACTAACTTCATGAAAAGATCCCATCTTCTTTAGGCAAACTCGGGAATCTTCAATACCTTGGTCTCTTAATCGATAGCCCACACAATTCCACAATTCCTTTTGAGCTTGGCCTCTGCACAAACCTTACCCAGTTGATTTTAAGTGGGAGATCACTTACGGGATCCTTGCCTTTATCCTTGACCAATCTGACCAAATTATCCTCTTTGCCTATTACTGATAGTAATCTTTGTGGTCACATCCTACCTTATTTTCTCACAAATTGGACCCAGTTAACAGTATTGATGCTTAAAAACAATTCTTTCACTGGGGAAATACCATTTGAAATTGGTTTGTTGACAAATCTAACTTATCTTAATTTGAGTGGTGATAGATTTTCCGGCTATATCCCTCAAGCGACAAAACTTGTCCATCCAAGACCTTTCAGTCAACTTTCTTTCAGGTCAAATACCTCCAACGATTTGGAATTTAATAGAACTTATGTCCTTGTATATTTCCTCCAACCATCTCACAGGTATGATTTCACCAAAGGTTGGACATTTGAAGTCACTCATGGCTCTGGATCTAAGTATGAATCAATTAAGTGGGCAGTTGTCCAAAAACATCTCTAAACTCGATAAAGGATTGCTAGTTTTGAATTTGAAGAATAATCATTTTCATGGCACCATTCCCAAAATATTTCCAAAGGGATGTGAACTGCAGTATTTGGACTTGTATGGAAATCAATTGAGTGGGACATTACCATTATCATTGGTCAATTGTAGGATGCTTGAAGTACTGGATATTGGAAACAATACCATAAGTAGCCCATTCCCTTTTTAGATGGAAACTCTTTCGGAGCTTCAAGTCCTTGTATTGAAGTCCAATAGATTCCACAGTATAATACCTATTTCAAAGGTGAAGTTTTCATTTCCAAAGTTGCGAATTCTTGACATGTCCCACAATGAGTTCACTGGTGTTCTCCCAATTGAATTTTTAAATAAATTCAAAGCCATGATAAATGTGAGTGAAAATGAAACAGGATCAGAATACTCTGATGTTCTTTCAATATTTTACTGAAAGGGTTTGAGTATGAATTGAGAAATATCCGAAGAGCTTATACAAGCATCGATCTATCAAACAACAAATTTCAAGGTAATATTCTAAGTTCTATAGGAAAGATCAAGGGCCTACATTCTCTAAACTTAGCTTATAATAATTTCACAGGTCATATCCCATCATTAGAAAATTTAACTTCACTTGAATCATTGGACCTTCGTTCAAATCAATTGGTTGGAGATATTCGTTGGCAATTGACAAAGTTGACAAGTCTATCATTCCTTAACCTTTCATACAATCATCTTGTTGGTTTCATACCTGAGCAAGGGCAGCTTCTTACGTTTGATAGCAGTTCATATATTAGCAACCTAGAATTATGTGGACTGCCATTGACAAATATGTGTAGAAATGAAGAACCACAACCAAAGCTTCTAGTATCGACGACACGGAAAGATGATGATTTCAATAGCTTAGATGGATTCAACTGGCAAGTTGTCCTCATGGGGTATGGATATGGAATGTTATTTGGAATGGTTGCGGGATATTTAATTTTTAAATATGAAAAACCTGAATGGTTTATAGAATTTGTTTATCAAGTTAACAAAATAAAAGATAGTAGAAGATGGAGGTAGATTGTTTGTAGTTATTATTTGAAAAAGAAATAAGCTCAATGTTAAGTGTTCCTAGAACATGTATATCAGCATTTTTTATTAGTGCAATAAAAGGAGAAGAAAATAATTGTATTATTATCATTCGAAAATTGCAAAGACTTCATTTTTAGGGATAGCAACGGGACAAGTTCGAGTCTGGGCAACCTCTCCCACCCCCCGTCCCACGAGGTAATTCCCGCCCCAGTCCCCGCCCTTTTACCTATTTAAGGCGGGGCCCTTGCCTCGTTTAGTACCCTTTTAATTTTTTTTTGAAATTTATTTTATTACCCCTATTCATAAAAGTGAGACAATAATATAGTTATTAAATTTTTTAATTAATTTATTTATTTTTAAATTTAAATTATTCAAATATATTTGGTAAACTAATGCTTTTATTGTTCATTATATTCATTAGATAATCTTAGTTACTATCTTCTATTAGAATTAATGAAATTTCGTGGAGTTTTCTATTTAAAGTATTGAGTTCTTAAAATTAAAAAGTTAAACAGGGCGGGATGAGGCCCTTTTTACCCTTCCCTCCTAGGGACGAAATCTCAGCCCTATCCCCGACCTAAATATCTCGATTAAGATGGGGCGAGGCAAGGCCTCGCGGTATCGGGTTTGATGAGTTATTTTGCCATTCCTGTTCATTTTCCTTCTTCGTAGTCTTTTCTTTTTATTTTAATCGAACATTGTCATCTAAGAGAACATAAGCAGATTTTTCTAATTCTATCCTAATTATTTTTATTTACAAATCTAATGTAATATAGAGATATTGCAATTAATAGTCAATTTTTTTCACCATATTCAAGGGAATCAAGTTATTTGAAGGGAACATCTCATCCTCTCTCTTAAAACTTTCCTAGCCATCTTCCTCCTTCCCTCGGTTGATCCCTACCAAAACTGTAAAATCAAAAACCTAATCTGTTGGCAAATTAAAGTCGGTAGCATGAACAAAAAAAATCATATATGTTTGCTTGCAAAATATACTTACTCAAAATTTCCCAGCACCCAACTAAAAAAATAGATTCTAGCTCTAGCCATTGACTCTCTTCCATCCACTTCGTCATCATTAAAAACGTTCAACAATTATTCATGCCTACTATTGCTAGTATCCCCAGATATACATCATAAGAATGTACATTGGAGAGTTCAAGAAGCAGTTAGACAAGGACCCACTATTCACTAAGCACATTTGGACAAGAAGCAATAAATGATTCTATTGACTTGAGGACTCGAGGCTGACTCATAAAGTGATAATAGATGAAGTAAAGCCAAAAAATGTATAAATTTTGCAGTAGTCACATTACAACTTAGGAACATGATACGTGGTTTAACATCTACTATATGCCACCTTCAAGTTAAAACAAATATGCCACGTGAATTTCATTCCTTAACTGCACATGAAGCTGCTTTGGACTTTGAATTGCATTCTCAATGCTTTTGTGATCTCAATGCCTCAATGGGACTATTCGAAAAACAGAGATGTGTACAATCAGCAATAGAACATAGAGAAGTATCTTCTATTTTTTCTTTCATTGAATTAAACTAGATTGCTTTTTGGTGCAGAGATAAGCCTAAGGGAGAAGAGCAATTGATCCCGAGCCAGAGAATAAACATTGCATTTGATGCAAAACATATACCTATGTTTCCATCTATGAAAGCACTGATTCTCTACCAGAAAATAATAGATCCGTTGAGAAAGAGGAGGAACAATTAGAGGGGGGGCTCGGCTACCCAGTCGCATTCACTCTCTGAAAATGATAGTTCTATGGCATAGAATGTGGGATTGTATCCTTGAAATCATAGGTACCATAATGTTATGGAGGGTAACGATGAAACCGAAGAGTTTAGTGATATTGTTCCCCATTATCAAAGACGATTGAGTGGAGAATACTGAACCTACATATGATTTTTTCTACAAAAGTTTTGAAGTATTTACTTCAGTTATTTTGGTCAGTGGTCCGGTTTCAACCCACTTGGTGAAATAGTCAACAGAAACAATCACAAAACAGGCACTGTCTCTTCCTTTAGGTAGAGGTCCAATGAGATCAATTCCCCATTTAGCAAATGGCCAGGATATGGAAACAATACTAAGCTCTTGTGAGGGTTGTCTTTAAACTGTCGCAAAACATTGACACTTATCGCATCTTTTTACAAACTATTGGGCGTCCTTTTTCAAGGTCAGTTAGAAGTATCCTTGCCTTAACACTTTTTGTTCTAGGGACCATCCCCCAAAGTAATGGCCACACACCCTTTGTGTATCTCTTGGAGCACATATGTATCTTTCTTCCCACCTATACAACGAAGTAGGGGCATGGAAAATCCCATTTATATAACACATCATCTTGAAAGATAAAGTGTGAGGCTTGTCTTCTGGGCTTTTGTGCTTCTTCTTTGTTATTGGCTTTATCCACGAGGAAGTATCTTCCACCCACATAACCTCTTCGCTTTTTGAAGTGGAAAGCCTTGGAATGTGTTCTATGGGACCACTGTGAGCAGTTCGGAGTCCTACTACTTGCCAATTTTGAAAGGGCATCGACATGAGTGTTTTCACAACTTGGTATTTTCGTTAACTTAAACCTTTCAAAGATTGGGATGAACTCCATGTCCAATTTTAGATAAGCAGACATGCTCTTGTCCTTGGCTGAAAAATTGCCATTAACTTGGCTAATGACTAACTGAGAGTCACTGTTAATGAGTAGCCTTTTCACCTGCATATCTCTGACCAATTGGAGGCTAGCCAGGGAAGCTTCATATTCAACCACGTTGTTGGTGGTGTTGAAGCCAAATCTCACAGCACAATTGAGCTCGTACCCTTCTAGACTTACCAGCACTACGTCGGCCCTAGACCAGGTATCTCCCTAGGAGCCATCAAAGTTTAAACAATAAACAAACTGAAGTTTAATGCTCATTGAGATCATGACATATCCCACGAAGCAAAAAAGGAGACTTCATTTTCAAGTCTATGACGTCAAAATCACAAATTGAGTAGCTTATAAGCTGAAATTTGAGAACACAAGCCAATGCTAAGGACTAAATTAGTGCAATAATTTTCAATATATATGGATCATTTAAATGTAATGAAAGAAAAAGTAGACATCGAAGAAAGATACAACAAAAAATTATCAAAAAAATACAATTGCATGTATATCGTGAATTTGTAAGTATAGACTTTCTGTTTTCTCCAAGAAAATAGAGAAAAACATATGCTCAAAAAAAAAATTTCTTGAATCCGAGCACAAAATTAATCACGAAAAAAAGAAAATAATCAATTTGGCACTGTCCTTGAATTCCTCATAATGTTTGTTAATTCTGTCACATATTGTCTACCTCTACGTCATTGTGAAGTAATTGGTGAGAAATCCAATGAGTAGGAGGCATATTGTAAAATCCCAAAACCACGATAAGGAGAGCAGATGATGGATGCGACTATCCCAAAGGTGGCCAGAGTTGATTATGGCAACCACAGTTGGTGGTAGATAATATAGAGAGATTGAAGGTTTGAGTTGTGTGAGGGGAAGGGGTGTTATTGGATACTATAACAGCCTAAATTTTTGTAACTCTATGCGTTACGAAAAAGTCTGAGTTCTATAACATTAACCAAAAATATAAGTAAATAAGAAAATTTCAAGAGTTTGAAACATTTAATGAATAATACGAGATCTTAACATGACCATATAGAGTTAGACAATATGGTACAAATTGAATTTGCAAAGCATTTTGAGAGAATTCAACACGAGGGTAAAAAATTTCACCGATTGCATAACAGGGAAAAGAAAAAAAAAAAATTTGACCTACTAAACATCGACTAAAACAGAGACCATAAAATTTTTTTTATGTACAACATATAAAAAATTGGGGTCTCGACAATGATGTTTGAAGCACACAAACAGCTTCCATTAATGCTAGACTAACATTTT